TATTAGTAATATTCGGAAAATATGCCAGTGTAAGGAAGAGGTGCTGTTGACCTCTAATCGGGCAAGAGGGTGCAACTCTCACAAAATATTGCTCAGGATCGGAAGAAAAATCCCCAGAAAGTTAGAGTTCCGTGATTTTTTTGTAGGGTCGGCCCGTCCGACTATACTGCTGTGCTCACTGGTTTTAAATATTTTTTTCAAGAGATGTCATAGCGTGAATTTTTTAAAAATATTTTTTCAAGACACATCCAGGCTTGTGGCGTGGATTTTTTAAAAATATTTTTTTAAGGGACATCCAGGCTTGAGGCGTGGATTTTTTAAAAATATGTTTTCAAGGGACATCCAGGCTTGAGGCGTGGATTTTTTAAAAATATTTTTTCAAGGGACATCCAGGCTTGAGGCGTGGATTTTTTAAAAATATTTTTTCAAAAGACATCCATTCTTCGATAAATTTACAAGGTATACCCTGGCACTAGGCGTGGAATTTAAAAAAATATTTTTTCAAGGGACATCCATTCTTCGATAAATTTACAAGGTATACCCTGGCACTAGGCGTGGAATTTAAAAAAATATTTTTTCAAGGGACATCCATTCTTCGATAAATTTACAAGGTATACCCTGGCACTAGGCGTCATTATTTTGAAGTGATATCCCGGCTTTACACGTGGATTTTTTTAAATATTTTTTTCAAGAGATTTCCTGGTTTTAAAGAATGAGAGGAAAGGGCTTCTTACCAGAGTGAGAAAACAAAAGCTTTTCTCATATGGAAGACGAGGAGGTATTTTTTGCGCGGAAGATTCTTAGTTTAAAGAAGAATATTAGGGTTCATTCTAAAGAACACCTTATTTTTAACTCTTTTAAAGAAGACATAGAAGATTTTTTCTGAAGAAGATTAAAAGTTTTTATTTCAAGAAAGAACAGAAGGTCCTCTTTTATAGCAAACCAGAATGCAGACTTCAATAGAAGACCTTAAGGATTTCTGCTTTAGAAAACCATGATTTCTTCTTTAAAAGCTACTACTATTAGGTATTATATGGAAGTTCAAAACCCTTACTTCTGTAGAAGTCCACAAGGTCTTTTTTGTAGAACTTCCGAGGAGATCTCGGAAAGTATATTTTTATTGAAAACCGTAAATTTTCTTCTATAGAGGATCAAGGGTCCTTCTTCTGCAGGCGACCAAAGTTTTCTCTAGAGGTTATAAAAGTCTACTACTATAGAATACCCAAAATTAAATTGCAATTTCTAAGGTTAAGTTTAAGCTGATTTATTACTTTCAATTTTTAAATAATAAAAATAATAATCATAAATGTTAAATATACAAAAAGCCATTAATAATATTTAACGCTTCACAAACAATCCACACACACACAAAGCAACGAACATGCAACTCAAACCACTTTTTCGCTACCCGGCCGGTCAGTCAAACAACCACTCACTGTTGGTTATTTATTTCATTTACAGAGATTGATTTAAAGCATTTATTTAAATTTCAATTTCTTTCTGTTGGCATTTTTTGCATCAACGAAAACAAAATATTGCAAATCTCCATAAATTGATGATAATTTAAATAAAAATGTCCATTTGTTGGCTAAATAATAAGTCAACAAAATTTCAAACAAAAGATGATGAAGGAGAAGAAACGAAAAAAAAAAATATCCGACAATAAAAATTTTTTATATTTATAAAAAATATTAACGTTATGATATTTTTTATTGATTGGTTGGCTTGGCTTTGCTTCGGTGGATGGTTCATTGTTTGCCGGTATTTGAAATAAAAAAACATATCTCTAATTGATTTTGTTGTTGTTGTTGTCGTTATTGTGATCGATAATAACACTGATGATGATGATATTCCTATGGACAGACTGACAACTCAGGTTCAAAGCTTCTTTTTTGATTTGCGAATATTTTTCCGTAATCATTATTTTTTGCATTATGACAATTAAGAGCAAAAAATGCGGAACCACCACCAGGAGTTTAACAGAAGTTCATCGATGATGATAATGGAGATAATTGTTGAATATTTATTTTTTATTTTATTTCTGAATATAGATGATTGATGTGATTTGCATATTAGATGCAAAAAAATGTGATGCGTTATTCTAAATAAATAAAATTAATTGCCATAAACATTTCGTTAATTAAGGGGTTTGGAAAAAAATCCCCGTAGATTTCTACAAAAATGCAGTAATTAAAATGTGGAAAAGATTAAATAATTACGATTTACCAATAACTGCGATTAGAAAACGTCATAAAAAATACGAACTTTATAATATTGAAGTGAAGTAGCTATCTCAAATTCTAGCATTCTATAGGAGATTAATATGTTTCTTGTAAAAAACCCTCTTGAAAGTGGTCTTCAAAAATACAAAAAAGGGTTCTAAAGAAGGACTTAGAGTTACTTCTCTATAAAAAAAAACAAGACTAGAAGATATCGTTTTGAGTAGCTAAAAAAAAAAAATCGGAACCATCAGGTCCAAAAAGCGCAACATAAGAAGGCATGTTGCGCTTTTTGGACCTGATGGTTCCGTCTTCTTCAATACAGGTTCAGTAACTCTTCTACATAAGTAAGTGAAGAGACCAATAGTTCTTCTGTAATATATGGTCACCAATATGCCTACCTGTATAAATTTTGATACCATCTTCACTAGATTTAGTTTATTTTTCTTTTAACGATCTACAAATGTTACAACATGTCTCCGTATATCTAAGTATTATCATTTATTGGCGCACGTGACACTAATAGAGTTCTCAATTTTCATGAATCAAAAATTTTGAACGGCGTCAATTATTTCATTATCTTATCCATAATTATAATTAATCACATGATTTCGATAAAAATGCCATTCAGTATTGTTTTTAATAAAAAATCTAAACAAAGGAAAACAAGACATTTTACAGTCAAACCCAACTAAAATAAATTTTCACGCCTAGGTCTGCGATGAACCTTCCCAAGATATTCTTTAAAAATCCACGCCTAGATCTGCGATGAACCTTCCCAAGATATTCTTTAAAAATCCACGCCTAGGTCTGAGATGATCCTTCCCAAAAATATTCTTTAAAAATCCACGCCTAGGTCTGAGATGATCCTTCCCAAAAATATTCTTTAAAAATCCACGCCTAGGTCTGAGATGATCCTTCCCAAAAATATTCTTTAAAAATCCACGCCTAGGTCTGAGATGATCCTTCCCAAAAATATTCTTTAAAAATCCACGCCTAGATCTGAGATGATCCTTCCCAAAAATATTCTTTAAAAATCCACGCCTATGTCTGAGATGATCCTTGCCAAAATATGCTTTAAAAATCCACGCCTATGTTTGAGATGATCCTTCCCAAAAATATTCTTTAAAAAATCCACGCCAAGGTCTGAGATGAACCTTCCCAAAAATATTCTTTAAAAATCCACGCCTATGTCCGAGATGATCCTTCCCAAAATATTCTTTAAAAATCCACGCCTAGGTCTGAGATGATCCTTCCCAAAATATTCTTTAAAAATCCACGCCTATGTCTGAGATGAACCTTCCCAAAAATATACTTTAAAAATCCACGCCTATGTCTGAGATGATCCTTGCCAAAATATTCTTTAAAAATCCACGCCTATGTCTGAGATGATCCTTGCCAAAATATTCTTTAAAAATCCACGCCTAGGTCTGAGATGATCCTTCTCAAAAATATTCTTTAAAAATCCACGCCTAGGTCTGTGATGATCCTTTCCAAAATATTCTTTAAAAATCCACGCCTAGGTCTGAGATGATCCTTCCCAAAAATATTCTTTAAAAATCCACGCCTAGGTCTGAGATGATCCTTCCCAAAAATATTCTTTAAAAATCCACGCTTAGGTCTGAGATGATCCTTCCCAAAAATATTCTTTAAAAATCCACGCCTAGGTCTGAGATGATCCTTCCCAAAATATTTTTTAAATAATCCACGCCTTGTGGTAGGTCTTGAAAAAATATTCTTCAAAAAATCCACGTCTTTGGTTACTTCTTAAAAAATATTCTTTAAAAAATCCACGCCTTTGGTTAGTCCTTAAACAATCCTTATTAATTTATTTATTTTTTATTTTTTCTTTCCTTGCAGTTAATCCGGAAGAAGTATCCATAAAAATGCCTTCCTTTGGAAAATCCACCTCAGTTTGATTACGAACTTGGCAAAACATAGAAAAATGAACGCTGGAGCCAACAGCAGAAGCAACAACAATGGATGAGTAATCCCATAATGTTTACAGTGAAACCAGCCAAATTGTTGACGCTGGCGACGAAGCAGAAGAAGACGTTGTCGACAAATAGGACCAACAACAGCAACAGCAACAAAAAATCTAGGGTAAAATTTGTGACAGCTGCCTTAACCAAATCTCCGTCGAGAAGATTTCACGTTTACCCAAATTCCGAAGTAGTAGCAGAATTTACACTTGCCAGCCACTTTACTTGCCAATATCGTCGTCGATCGTCGATGATATCAACATAACCCCTGGTAGAACGATATAAAAAAGCAGCTAATCGCCTTAAATCCATCACCACCTCCCAAACTGTAAACAGAAACGAAGGCAGCTCTAACACAAAAACAGAAAAACAAGCCTAGCTTGTTGTTCGTTGTACTGCTGGGTCACAGTTTTGAAATTGGATATTTTGTGTGAATGTCAATTCGGAGACGACACAACCACAACAATCAATGCAACAACACAACAACCACAACAAATATAACCCCAATACTTAAAAACCAAACGAAAACAAGATAAACAATTAGCCAACCGTTTTTTGCCAATAAAGATGTTCCAAACATTGCTATTCGTCTTCGACTTCTTCTTCTCCTATCTCCTATTCCAACACAACCTTCAACAAAAATAAAATTCCCCTAAAATTGAATTAAGAGCCCAAGAAGAAGGCACTTCGCAGCTCTTAATTTGTTTGTGTTGCTACACTTTTTTTCGGCAAAACAACATCAATCTTCAAAACTTAATCCCCCAGATTGCAGTTTTTGTGTTTTTCAATATTCCGCAAAATGTTGCAAAATTCCAGCAGCTCTAGCGGAGCCACAGCAGCCTCGACTGGCCAACAACAACAGCAGCCGCAGCAGTCGCAAGAGTCACAGTCTCAACAAATGCCACAACCCAAACTTGTTGTTATACGACGACGACCCAATCAAGGTTTCGGTTTTACTCTACGTCATTTTATTGCTTATCCACCGGAAGATGATCCCTCTTGGCCACAGGTAAGGAGAAACCACATTTAGTTCAGTACGAGAGAAAAAAATAAAACGAACACACAACGGTTAAGCTCTGCCACATTGGCCCGAACTAATAAACAAGCATTCAAGTCATAAACAAAATAACTGTTAATATATTTTGATATTGTTGTTGTTGTTATTGGACACATTAAACGTCATATAACCAACATGTCATAAAGTAGTAGTATGGACGGTTTCTCTATATAGACGGAACAGTGTTGACACTACAAAAAAAAAAAATGGGAATTTTTAGAGGTTTTTAGAATCCCCGCCTAAGGTGGGGATTTAAAAAATATTCCCACTACACCTTGAAAAATATTCATAACAAAATCCTTGCCTTAGGTGGACTTTGAAAAATATTCATAACAAAATCCACGCCTTAGGTGGACTTTGAAAAAAATGTTCATAACAAAATCCACGCCTTAGGCGGTCCTTGAAAAAATATTCATAACAAAATCCACGCCTTAGAGGTCCTTGTAAAAATATTCATAACAAAATCCACGCCTTAGACGGTCCTTGTAAAAATATTCATAACAAAATCCACGCCTTAGGCGGCTCTTGAAATGTTTCCTTTAACAAAATCCACGCCTTAGGCAGACCTTAAAAAAATATTCATAACAAAATCCAAGCCTTAGGCGGACCTTGAAATAATATTCATAACAAAATCCACGCCTTAGGCGGACCTTAAATAAATATTCATAACAAAATCCACATCTTAGGCGGACCTTGAAAAAATATTCATAACAAAATCCACGCTTTTGCTGAACCTTGAAAATGTTTCTTTAAAAAATCTACGTCTTAGGAGGACCATGAAAGTGTTTCTTTAAAAAATTTACGGCTTCGGCGATCCTTGAAAATGTTTCTTAAAAATATCTACATTTTTTCCTTAAAAAATTTCCCTTGAAACATATTTCGGATGGGCCTTGAAAAATATTCTTTAAAAAAATTCACATTTCGGATTGACCTTGAAAAATATTCTTTAAAAAAAATCCACATTTGGGATGGGCCCTGAAATAATATTCCTTAAAAAGTCCACTCCTAATAGTTGGCCTTACAAAAATATTCTTTGAAAATCCACTAATAGTTGGCCTTACAAAAATATTCTTTGAAAATCCATTCCTAATGACTGGCCTTACAAAAATATTCTTTAAAAATCCACGCCAAAAGATTCTATAAAAAAACTACGCCTAAAACTAGACCTTGAAAATCAATTTTTTTTAAAAAACCACGCCTAAAACTAGACCTTGAAAGTCAATCTTTTTAAAAACCAAGCCTAAAACTAGGCCTTCTAAATCAATCTTTAAAAAAAACACGCCTAAAACTAGGCATTGAAATTCAGTCTTTAAAAAACCACGCCTAAAGCTATGCTTTGAAAATCAATCTTTAAAAAAACCACGCCTAAAACTAGAACTTGAAAATCAATCTTAAAAAAAACTGCACCTGAAACTAGGCCTTGAAATCAATATTTAAAAAACTACGCCTGAAACTATGCCTTGAAAATCAATCTTTTAAAACCACTCCTAAAAGTAGGCCTTGAAAATTAATCATTCAAACGCCACGCTTAAAACTAGGCCTTGAAAAGCCATCTTTAAAAAACTACGCCTAAAACTAGGCCTTGAAAATCAGTCTTTAAAAAAACCAAGCCTAAAACTAGGAATTGAAAATCAATCGTTAAAAAACCACGCCTAAAACTAGGCCTTGAAAATCAATCTTTAAAAACCACGCCTAAAACTAGGCCTTGAAAATCAATCTTTAAAAAACCACGCCTAAAACTAGGCCATGAAAATCAATCTTTTAAAAAACCACGCCTAAAACTAGGCCATGAAAATCAATCTTTTAAAAAACCACGCCTAAAACTAGACCTTGAGAATCAATCTTCAAAAAAACCATGCCTAAAACTAGGCCTTGAAAATCAATCGTTTAAAAACCACGCCTAAAACTAGGCCTTGAAAATCAATCTTTAAAAAAACACGCCTAAAAATAGGCCCTGAAAATCAATCTTTAAAGAACCACGCCTAAACCTAGGCCTTGAAAAAATAATGTTAGGCATTGGAAAAATATTTTTAAAATTATTGAGCGGAGCAGTATAGTCGGACGGGGCCGACCATATGATACCCTACTCAACTACTAAAGCAAACATTCTGCGGTTCTATATTCTGAGCCTAGGCATTTTTACCGATTATAGATCAACAACTCCACTTTCTAAGCCTGGCATATTTTTCAAAACATTTTTCTTTAAGTGAATTTGTTACGCCATAAAATACAAAATTGGTCACTTTAGGTTTTGGTTGATTTGATCCTCGGAATAATGACCGATCATCATCTAAACAACCGCTCTAAGTATTTGGTCAGATCCCCTTTACCTTGTAAAATATGTGATGTTCTGCAAATAATAATTGCATCTAGAGCGACTAGAAAATCTGACAAAATTAACGTTTTCGGTTCATTGTACCCCCTGAATGAAATCTCAACTTCACCGAAAACTATAGGCGTCGTCCTTGACTATAATCGCAACTTCATGTACAATTTCAAAGCGATCAGCGCGACATTTCCGCCCTCTAATGGAGTAATTGTAATAATGTGCACATAGTCAACTTTACCTAATTACGTATAACACCCACATACTATCATATATCAACTTCTCGGGTATATGTCCTTCAGGAGCAAGTATATACGCCCCAGAATAAACATTTTGAAAATTTTCACACAAAAGTCAGGGTCCATTTCGTCCATCCGCTAAATATTGACCGATATTTGTAAAAACAGGTATGCTTATTCTTTGGCCCGATCGCCTTCTCCATGTAAAATTTCACGATGTTCGGACCATAACTGCGGCCTTTGGAGCGACCAGAAAAACCGACAAAAATAAAGTATTTGGTCCATTTCATCCCCTAAATATTAACCGATTAAAAACAATAGGGGTCTTCATTGGGCAGAACCCATCCTACATGCAAAATTTCGTGAAGATTGGTGCATAACCGTGGTCTGTATCGTGTTTACAAATTATAATAGACAGACGGATGGACGGACACACATGTCTAGATCCACTTAGCTAGTCGAGATATGACGATCGGTATACTAAATGGTGGGTCTAGGACCAATATTTCGCGGCGTTACAAACTCTTGGGGCTGCACAAAGCTATAATACCCTGACAACATAGTTGTGTAGGGTATAAAAATCCACGCATCATACTTGACCTAGAAGAAATATTAAAAAAAAACATCCTTGAAAAATATTTTAAAAAATCCTTGAAAAATTTTTAAAAAAATTTACGCCTAATGATAGCCCTTAAAATATTTAAGAAATCCACGCCTAATGGTAGCCCTTAAAAAATATTTAATAGTTTTAAAAAATCTTTTTCCAAAAAATCCGAAAAAAACGCCACATTGCCATCATCGTCACCATTATCGTGTGGTGGCACGTAGCAAATTAGCACAGCCACAACAAAAAGTCGTTACTTTATTTTGTTTTTATTGTAAAAAATCACCTTAGTTAGCATTTTTAATAATTTTCATTAACTGTTTTGATGAGTTGGGTGAAGTTGATAATGGAGTTAATTTTGTTTTTTTCTGTTGCTGTTATTTTTTTTTTCATTGTAGCTTTCTTAGCCAGCCATTATCGTATTTTTTATAACAATTTTTATTAATATTATTATTAAGTTAATATATCTCAGTTTTGTTTTTATGCCATGCTTCGTTTAATGTCTGGCATGTTTGTTGGTGTTTGCCTTTGAGCTCTGTTTTGTTTTTATTTATGGGAACGCCAGAGGCGTTAGAGATCGAGTGGCGAGACCAGTGGCATTAGAAAGTACAGTGGGTCATATATGATCATCTGAGATACCGGCGTAGATTTTTTTTAATTTTAATATTTTTTAAAGGATTTTAAAATGAGAATATTGTTTTTAATATTTTTTCAAGGACCATAAGAGACGTGAATTTTTTCAATATCTTTTTTTTCAAGGGCCACAGGTGGCGTAGATTTTTTTCTATTTTTTAAGGACCACAGGAAGCCTAGATTTTTTTCTATTTTTTAAGGACCAAAGGAGGCGTAGATTTTTTCAAAATATTTTTTAAAGGACCACAGGGGCGTACTTTTTTTAAAAATATATTTTTTTTCGAGGACTACAGGGGCGTCGATTTTTTAAAAATATATTTTTTTCGAGGACTACAGGGGCGTTGATTTTTTAAAAATATATTTTTTTCGAGGACTACAGGGGCGTAGATTTTTTAAAAATATTTTTTAGGACCCAGAGCCTCAAACATTGTATTGTAACCATCAACATTATGACGTCCCCTCTGTACCACCACTTTCAATATCACAGCAACAAAAAGATAATATTGGACCACTCCATTTTGGCTAAGAGTATTTGTTTTTGTTTTCTCTGCACAAATAAATTAAATTTGTTTTTTTTTGCATTTGTTGTTTACTTGTGCAAGTATTGGTGTTGAAATTATCATTTCAGTTTTTTTTTCGCTGGCGTTGTTGTTGTTGCATTTGCACTAATTTCATTTCGTTTTCAAAACAAAAAGTTTTACTGCTGGACACTTACCACCACACGATTTGTTGTTAAGTGGTGTTGTTGTGGATTTTTTTGCTCACTTCTACTTTTCAACATTATCAATGGTGGCATAACAACAACAACAACAGCAACTACAACGTCAACAAAAAACAACACAACAACAACAACTAAAAACCATTAACAACTTTTAGACCACTACAACATAATTTAACGCTTTGGTTGGATATTGTCTTTTTTTTGGAATTACAGTGGGTCCGCAATAAATAGGAATTTTGAAAAAAAGATTTTTTAAAAAAATCTACGGCTGTTTCTTAAAAAAATCAACAGCTTTTTATGACTAATGTGGGTCTTTGAAAATAATATTGCCTAAAAATCCACGATAGGCCTTAAACAATTCTTCTTAAAAAAACACTATTGTGGGTCCTTGAAAAAAAAAAATATATAGTCCAGATCTTAGGTGGTGCTTGAAAGAAGTGACTCTTTAACCAGTGACTCTTTAACCAGTGAGCAGTACAGTCGGACGGGGCCGACCATATGATACCCTACACAACTTCCACGAAAATCTAACTTTCTGTGGTACTACATTCTGTGCTTGGACAATACTTCGCAATATTTGCACCCTCTTGACCGACCAGAGGTCAACAAATATTATTATTACTAATATTCAGTACAGCCCTTCTAATTACATGTCTAGATTTCCATCTGCGTGGGTTGTGTTGTAATGTTCGGCTTTCAATTGTGGCCTATAGATCGACTCGAAAAAACACAAAAAATAAGTTTTCGGTCCACTTCATCCAAATATTTTTATCTGATCATCACCTGGATCTTTTCCGCCCTCTAATGTGGTAATGGGTTACTAAATAATATATGAATACGTAAGCACCTGTAAATATTTATGTGTAACTCCCACATCCGACAATATGATTGGTATAAATTTAAAGGTCAACCACTCCTCTTGGATATACTATCAACTCCTCGAGTCTATGTCCTATAGTGGTAAATATATACGCTATAGAATACAAATTTTGTAATTTTCCACACAAAAGTCAGGGTCCATTTGACCCGCTAAATATTTACCGACCTTTATCAAGCCATGCGTGCTTATTCTTTGGCCAGATCCCCTTCTCCATGTAAATATTCGCGATGTTTGGACCATAATTGCGGCCTCTGGAGCGACCAGAAACCGACAAAAATTAAGTATTTGGTCCATTTCATCCCCTAATTAGTAACCGATCTTCACCAAAAACAATAGGGGTCTTCATTGGCCAGAACCCATCCTACATGCAAAATTTCTTGAAGATTGGTCAATAACTGTAGCCTGTATCGTGCTAACAAATTATAATGGACAGACGGACGGACGGATGGACGGACGGACACACATGTCTAGATCGACTCAGCTAGTCGAGATATGACGATCGGTATACTTAAAGGTGGGTCTAGGACCAATATTTCGCATTACAAACTATTGGGGCTGCACAAAGCTATAGTACCCTGACAACATAGATTCTTTAAGAATCCAGGCCTTGGATGACCCTTGACAAAACATTCATTAAAAAAATATTCTTTAAGAATCCAGGCCTTGGATGACCCTTGACAAAACATTCTTTAAGAATCCAGGCCTTGGATGACCCTTGACAAAATATTCTTTAAAAAATCCACGCCTTAGGTGGCTCTGAAAAAAATATATTCTTCAAAAAATCCAGGCCTAAGGCGGCTCTGAAAAAAAAAAAATTCTTTAAAAAATCCACGCCTTAGGTGGCTCTAGAAAAAAATATTCATTAAAAATCCACGACATAAGTGGGGCTTTCAACAAGATTCTATAAAATATCCATGATTTTATTTCACGATGAGGCGTGGATACCTCAACTGGTAGGTCTGAATGTTATTTCACTGTCTATCACTAACATTTACAACCCGCACTAGAGCCGCATAGCTTACCACTGACCGGTATATTGGCATTTGAGGACTTTGTTCCTACTTCTGATCTTATGGCAATGGGATCTTAATTGTAGACATAGAAGTGGTGAAGGATGCAGCTGGTAACTTAGTGACGGATATTTTCATATTGCTCAGATGGAAGAAACTTACAAGATCAGTCATGTTGATTTTTATCCTCTGATATAAGAGTTTGTTTGTTCCTTGTTTCACGTTGGGCGCCAAAATGCAAATGGTTCAGGTATTTGCAAGAGGATACATGATTATTGATTCTTATTCCATAAATATTATGTTGTTCCAGTAAAGTTTCCTTGTGGAAAACTTCATCGAGGATCTACACCTTTTTTGACTTTATTCACGTTGGGCGCCAACAATAATAGTTGTCAAGTATTTCCAACAGGATACAATATTATTGGTTCTTAGCCCTTAAATACTGCTTTCGTACACTTAGTTTTCCTTGTAGATTAATAAATCTTTCTCGTTGGGCGCCAACAGCCAAAAGTTGGAGTCTATTATTCCTAATAGGATGCACGATTAATTGTTCTTGACTTCTAAATATTACTTTTTGTCATTCTCATTAATTTACCCTATGGAAAAAAACATATCAATGGTATTCAATAATATTTGCTTGTTTCTCGTTGGGCGCCAATATTACATTTGTTAACCACGCTATATAAAATAACTTATATTCACTGTATAACTTTTTTTTTTGTAATTTCTTTTCATGATTTTTTGTTGTTTTGCTGCCATGGTCCGCTATTTGTTTTTGCAACTTCAAAAACACTCGTCATTGGTTGTTGGATTTTCATTCCTCCGCCTTCCTGCCGCCACTTTTCACCGATGATGATGGTCATGTTGTTTGCTGGCCATGATGATGGTATAACGCTTTGGTGTTGCTGCTGCTGCTGGTTCGTTCATTCATTGGTGTTCGTGTTGTTGTTGTATCTTACTTGCTCCAACCAAACAACCATCCATCCGTCCGTGTGTAGGAAGCATCCGAACCATACCAAGTGAAAGCTATGGAAACGATTTTCATAAAAGAGGTACATCCGAATGGACCCGCTTACTATGCCAATCTGCAGACAGGCGATCGCGTTCTAATGGTGAACAACACACCAATTGCTGGCATCGCCTACAGTACCATTGTGTCGATGATCAAGCAAACGCCTTCGGAATTGAAATTGTTGGTGGTGCCCAAGGAGTGTGATGTCTTGCAAATGGTAAGTGTGATTGTTTTTTTTTTGCGCTTTGCGATTTTTCGGAGGAGCGTTTTTGTATTTCTGTCGAACATTCATTTTCGTTTAATAATAATTTTGTAAGAAAAAGCGGTGTAACTGTAAATGTGCAAAATGATTGAAAGTTAATATAAAAAACGAAGTGAAACAAATTTAATGTTCAAATCCTCCAAAACAGTTTTATTTTTTTAAATCATTGTGTTACCATTTCTTCTTTTGTCTATTTGCAGCACTATACCAGTATTGCCCATACGCCACAATCAAATGTTATGGGTGGCGGTTCTTCATCGTGTACCAGTGGTTCCACAAAATCCATACCTTCACCTATTGTCGCGGCCACGGGCAGCAATGGCAATTCAACGGCAAATTCACACTCATCTGTCGTAGGTGGAAGTGGAGTTGGATCAGGTATTGGTGGTGCAGGTACAGGCAGTGCCCTCTTACCAATGTCCGTGGCAATGGCTGGTCGGCCACCTTTCCCATTACACCAACAGCCACATCAATTGATCTCATTTCCTGCAAGCAGCAGTCAACACCATCACCACCAACATCTGCAGCAATCGACTGTTGCGAGTCGTTCCGGTAGTATTAGTAGTACCAACAGTTTAAGACCACTTACACAAGCGGATTATATGGAATTAAGTACATTGTCGTCATCGACATCATCTTCAGCGGCGGCGGCGACATATCATCATCAAATCCAACACCACCAACTTCATTCGGCTAGCAATATGCTACAGCATAGTGATAGTGGCAGTTATTTGCGGTAAGTTTTGAAAATTAAAAAAAAAATGTATTTTAATAATATTAAGATGTTCTCTTGTGTGAGATGAAAGGTTAGGTAGGGATATGGTTCGAAGCTGTAGCAATGGGTCATGTACTTGGCAATGTTGGGACAACAACAATTGTCATATTTTTAATCTTGAGAGAGGTTGGTGTTTTCAATAGCACAAATTGGTAGCATCCAATTTTCACGTTCTGCGATTTACGGCGACAATTTGTACAACCTAAGAAAGGACTATAAGAAGCTGGACTTGTATTGGTCATACACATTTACGTATTAGGTTGGTGCGTATGAAATATCGGATTATTAAGTGATTGTATAATGTATATGTCAGTGTCAATCTCAGAAAGGTGTCTCAATATCGTTGTATGGTCAAATTTCATCCTGATAGCAAGTTCCATCGTGGATACGACTGGATCCGCTTCCACTAGAGCCTTCAGGTCATCATTCTTCACAGACGTTTTGGGTCTTCCGCGCGGCTCATTTTGCAGTGAAAAATCGCCATTCGGAAAATTTTCAAACCATCGCTGTACTTTCCGATCGTTAACCGTATTCTCCCCAAACGTGCAGCTTTTGCTGCGCTATTACCAAGATTGTACTCATATAAGAAAATGACGCGAATGTCGGTAGAATTCTTATCGGCAATATACTTAAAAGAAATAACAAAAGGGAAGACCTTCGAGAAAACCTATTTTGCTGAAATGAGTCTCTGGCAATGGACAATACGACCGGAGCTTATGCCAAAGACAAAAGTATAACGAAAACAAGGAGACAAACATCCGCATGTAAAAACCTAATAATTCACCCTAAATCTGAGGGTTGTAGTTGTCGTTCAGATCGTAGACCCCACTGTCGTGTAAACGAAATCTGATATGCAATATTGGGAGATCCTTATCCATTTTTTGGCCCTGATTCTTCCTCGGTATCTAAATTCAGGATGGTTCCTTTGATCCAAATTCAACCTGTATGGACTGTGTTCATAGAATATTTAGAGGCAGGTTAGCAGATCAGTCAGGTGTTACGTGTCCTAGTCCACATCCATTATGTGGTTCTGGATTCTTTGTATTTTAATTCTGGAAGGTTGCAACCTACGTTGCTTTAACACCGCGATTCTGAATACAACTAAAGTCAGGTTTTACGTGTCGTGTTGTCCTAGTCCTTATGCTGGATTTTTGTTAGATATCGTGCCCAATAGGAATTGAGACGGTTGCAATATCTTGATATCTCTCTTCCTGTGGATAGACAGGATGATTCTATGTATCTGAATGAATGCTAAACAGAGCTGTCTGAAACGTCTGTATATTTAGAAGTTCGCGATTGTACGCCTCATGTAGCTCTGTACTGACGTGTGTGGTTGGGTGAAGTTTGTCCATAAGGCAATGCATTCATTTTCTGGGTGCTAACAGACAGGCAAGTACTGTTTGTTTGTGTCAATGAACGAATATGATCTTCGCCTCCTCATGTATATGGTTCACTGAGGAGCCTCCCTTTTGCATTTCCCTGGGCGGCATTCTCTCATTTCTTCCACTGCGTATCATTTACATTCACAACCCATATTGGTACCGCATAGCTCACCACGACTCGGCTTATTGCTTTATAAAAGGGGAAGGACTTCCAATTTCATCGCATATAGAAGTGGTTTTCGCAGAGAATTGGAAAGGTTTAATGTAATTAATATGGTCGGAATCTCCATCGACCGTTGTCTCCATATTCCTCACATGAGGATCTTGGACTTACTTTGAATTTGAATTCGCATACCTTTGAGACTGGCGCAGACCAGCAATACACTTATTTTGGTTTTAGGATTAATGGCGGAAATTTTTATATTTCTCATATGCCGGCCAGCGACCTGAGGACATTGTTCCTATAGTGATCCGATCGCATTCTGTTCTCCATAGATCGTTATATTCAAAGGAAGTTTTCTCTCAGCTGTCCACGTGGTGAACATTGCGGCTGTAGGTTTACTGGTGAATATTTTCCTATTCCCCACTAGAGAGCCTTATTCCTACTTTGATCGTTTGCACAGACGATTTGAAGACAGCGTCAAGAAATGATGTGGATGGCTAACGACATGTATATTCAGCTGCTTAAGTACTTCCACAGATATTGCGTCGAAACCAAATAATACAGTTCTTGATATAATACAAACATTACAGTTCTATATATACTCGCCAAGGGCTTTCATCACTTTAAATTTTTTTTACTTCCCAGACCATACGCTCGATTTTTTGTTACAGTGTAATCGATTCCTTATTTAAATTGTCAGTTTTATGTTGGGCGCCAAAATTGTATGAATCACAAATGTAATATGGTGGAATCTCAATTAATAGAAAATAGAACATTTTTAGACAAAATAAAATCAGTGAGCGGAGCAGTATAGACGGACGGGGCCGACCATCTGATACCCTACACAACTTCCACGAAAATCCAAGTTTCTGTGGTTCTATATTCTGAGCTTGGGTAATATTTCGCGATATTTGAACCATCTTGACCAAATAGAGGTGAAGAAATATTACTAATGTTCAGTACAGCCCTTCTAATTACTTGTCCAGATTCCCTTCACCGTGGGTTGGGTTGTGATGTTCGGCTTCCAATTGTGGCCTATAGATCGACTCGAAAAACACAAAAAAAAAAGTTTTCCATCCACTTCATCCCAAAATTATTATCTGATCATCACCGAAAATTATAGACGTTGTCCTTGACCATAACTGGATCATCATGGAACATTTTAAAGCGCTATAATTCCGCCCTCTAATGTTAATGGGTTACTAAATAATATATGAATACGTAAGCACCTGTAAATATGTAAATGTAACTCACACATCCGAGTACATATGACAATATAATTGGTATCAATTTAAAGATCAACCACTCCTCTTGGATATACTATCAACTTGTAGGACGTATATCCTTTAGAAGTAAATAGGGTATATAGAATAAATTTTTTGTAATTTTTCACTCAAAAATCAGAGTCTATTTGACCCGCTAAATATTGACCGATCTTTATGAAAACAGGCATGCATATTATTTGGCCCAATTCACTTCTCCTTATAAAAATTCGATGTTTGGGCCATAATTGCGGCCTCTGGAGCGACCAGAAGATTAGACAAAATTAAAGTTTTTGGTCCACTTCATTCCCTAAATATTAACTGAGCTTTACCAAAAACAATAGGGGCCTTCATTGGCCAAACCCCATCCTATATGCAAAATTTCGTGATGATTGGTCCATAACCGTGGCCTGTATTGTGTTTACAAATTGTAATGTACAGACGGACGGACACATATGTCTAGATCGTCTCAGCTAGTCGAGATATGACGATCGGCGTTACAAACTCTTGGGGCTGCACAAAGCTATAATACCCTGACAACATAGTTGTGTAGGGTACAACAAATTATTCCTTTGTGTTTACAATTCAGGCAAAATTTATTGAATTTCTTCTTGTAAATTCCTGGAAAATCGAAATCTTCGATATATGCCATTTATATGATGTTCCTCTGAAATTGTAATTTTTTCCCGCTATCACATTGCATTGCTTAGTCACTACACCATAGTAGTTTTTAATTTGTTGCAATAAAAATCAATTGTGAATTTCAACATTTATTGTTTTATTGTTATTTAAATTAACAATAACAATAATAACAAACTTTGATTCAGATTCACTTAATTTAAATTGGTTATTATTTTAAATTAATTAATTAAAACACATTTCAACTAACTATGGACAAAGGATTGATGAAATGCAAAAAAACAAAATAATAATAAAATAAATAAATAAAATGTGAATCATCATGTACAATTACAGAATTCATCCGTATGATAATGGTGGAAGAGAGGGATAAGGAATAGAGTATGTAATCCCAATATTCGTAGTATAAAGTCCTCATACATATGACTGAGGGACATACAAATATTACAAAAATTTCTTTATGTATTTAATGACACTTAATTTGTTGTTCACATTCAAAACAGAGATGAAAATTGCAATATTATTAAAAATGCATTACAATAATGGGAGCGGAAATTAAAAGGTTCCCTTATGTGATAATTCGTATTGAGTCATTGGTTCAATATAAGGATTAAGGTATCAAATTTATTATTTGTTTCTTTCTCCAAAATCATATTCAAAATAACCCCATTACGAAAAGTTTGTATAACCGCCAATAAAATATGCACTTATTGGCCTTCTTTTCGATTTCAAAATCTCAAATTTGTCACAGAACCATTTATTTCATAAAATTCTCTATTTTTTCTTGTTTTTATGAAAACAAACGTCAGTCTCTGTTGCTTTGTTCATGCATTTGTAAATCGCATTCAAACATTGTTGTTATTGCACCTTCCTTCCTCCATTTATCACCTATCCGTGTACTGCTGGTGACTGATAAGATATCAAAGAAGTGGTAATGAAAAACAACCAGCAAATCAAAAACGAAAAAAAACTCAAATTGATAAGATTGTTTGAAATTGATTGACTCAGACAAAAAATACAGACAGAAATGTATCTAAAAAATAACAACAGCAACAATGAAAACAAAAATACCAACAAGGGTAAACACAAAAAAAATGAAACAACTTTCCAGGTTAGAATAAATAACTTGATGCTATTTTATTCAGAGAAATGAATGGTGGACTTCCTCGTCTTTGGTGGTCTTTAAAAGCAGAAGATCTTTTAATCATTTTAAAAAATTTGGAAAGTCGCACTGTAAATGAAGACCCTGTGAGGTCATCCATATAAGAAAAACAACTTAGAGACCTATATGCACATAAAGAAACTATATACACCTAAATCTCTTTTTACGCGGTCTTTTTGTACACGGTTTTGATATAACACGGTTTGAAAATTTAATATTTTTAATTTTTTTAGACGATTTTATTCCATTTAACATGATTTGAAATTTTATGTAGTTAAATTTTTTTTGTCAAATTTAATTTTTGCGAAGTATGTTTATATCACAAAAAAGTATTTATGTGAAACCATGTAGTA